TCATGTGAATGTCTTGCCTTTGGCAGACGCTAATATCTGATGCCTTGGGAGAAAGGCGTTTCTGTCCTAAAAATCCATCTATCATGCCCCTGGCAGTTTGTACCAAGGACCAGCTCTTTCCTGATCTCCCACAGATGCTCTGCTAAATCCATAAACCATGACAGTGGATTACCTTTCTCATTGATTTAACTGTCACCACTAAAAGTAGTTAGCAGTCATGAAATAAGCCAGCAACTGTATTTGAAGCAATGTCCTCCTGAGGCACATATTTCCTTTTATCAGTTCTTAAATTAAATCTCCTTCATTGCATGAAGCGTGCCGTATTCTCACTTTGCAGGATGAGTAAAACGGAAGCACTGATCACTTTCTATCTCGTGCACCATAATTTTGTATGCTCAACTGCTCTCCCTTCTGCTGCTTCTCCTTTCCAGCTGACACAGGCCAAGATTACACAACGCTGCCTTTCGCTTTGAAGAAGTCCTTTCCTCGCTGAGGTGTGTGACTGCTGCTCTGGACACAGCGCAGGAGAAGGTCACGGGTCTAGGGATGAGTTATGCATCGCCTGCCGGAGGGATGGGAGAATCCCTTGCTGCCATGGCTGGACCACACTGACACTGGAGTGCTCGGCTTGGTGTCTGCACTCGGCTTGCTCCGTGCAAAAACAGCCTGTGTTTGTCATTGCTACTAGTCTAGCATCTCCTGCCAGCTCTAAGCATTTCCTTCACAAAAAAACCCCAAAAAACAAAAAAAAACCAAAAAACCCAAATAAACAAAAAAACAAGGTTTGATCATTCACTTTTGGGGCTACGCTAAACTTCCCAACATCTGTTCCAACTGAAAGAGGGGAAAAAACACCAATCCCGGACTGAAAAAAGAAAGGAAAAGGAACTAGGTACCAAGTTGTAATGTGAGAAACGAAGCCAAGAAAAACAGCATCTCAAGAGATATTAAAGACAAAACCAAACGTGGTAAACAGGAGCAGAGACAGATTTGAGAGGAAAGGCAGGAAGACAGTGACTAAAGCACCAAGAGTGAAACAGTGTACACATGGAAACGGTGCCCAGAGTCCCAGGGTTTCTTTGTTCTTGTTTTTCCTACCATTTCACAGAAATCACGATGCTGTCAGGATCTCTCTATACCCAAGGGTCAGTGATCTCAATGAAAGTTGGTGGAGCTGCACTGATTTACAACCATTAAGAAGCAACTTTCTGAGATTTCCCAGAATTACTGGGGTTTAAAATAATGCCCTGAGAACCCAGCTGAAAACGGCAGTTGGGATTATTCTTAAGCGAGGTCATACTAAATGCTAGATTAAAAATAATTAAGAATATCTCTCTTATTTTTCAATAGTTGCAAAATTCCTAACTTTGGATGGTCACATTGAAAACACAACCCTAGAAAAACATATGCATGACACTTTTCTACCAGCTTGAGAGTCACAGCAAATGCATACAGAGCTCTACAAATTCCAGCTCAGCAAACAACTCCTTTAGAAAGCAAAATATATTCTCTGTTGCCCCCATGCTTTTGTTTAACTTGTTGGATTTACCTTCCCACCCCTGTCTCCTTCCTTCAAAATGTGATAGGTGGATTTGAAAGTAAAAACTTTGGAATAAAGATTTAAATTTTTTTCAAAAAACTCCCCATTGTTCTTAGGGAAGAAAAAAATGCTTTTTTTTGGCTGAGCGTTTGCCAGATTAAACTAGAGGTTGGAAATATTTAGGGGTCCCTTTGGAGGTGAAACCCCTCCTGGCCCTCACCCTAACTGCACATGCCGAATACAAAGCCTCCCATCCCACGCTGTGCAGGCGACAGCCCAGGGCTCTGCGCGGCGCTCAGAGGTGCAAAGGAACCACGGAGCGAGGGAAGTAAAACTGGGGAAGAGACCGAGGACCTGGTTCTGCAGCCCAAGGAGCACGCTCAGGCCCATCCCTCCTTCTCCACTCTCCCCCTGGCATGGCTCCGCAGGCCCCTTCCCCTTCCAGCCTCCTGCCACCCATCCCCTCCTCCTTTTGGCCATTCCCTCCCCAGCCCACACTCGGTAAATAACATTTAGGACAAGAGGAAACAGTCTCAAGTTGCTCCAGGAGAGGTTCAGGTTGGAGATTAGGAAGAACTTCTTCACTGTAAGAGTTGTTAGGCATTGGAAAGGGGTTGCCCAGGGAGGTGGTGGAGTCACCATCCCTGGAGGTGTTCAAAAAACGTTTAGATGTGGCGCTTCAAGACATGGTTCAGTGGGTTTAGCGGGCATGGTGGCATCAAGTATACGGTTGGACTTGATGATCTTTGAGGTCTCTTCCAACCATAATGATTCTATGATCTCCACCAGCTCTAGTGCCACCGTCTCGGTTCAGAGGCCACCATGTTGGGTGCTGTCACCGCCACATTGGGGGTTCTCACCACCACGTTGGGTGTTCTCACCGCCACGTTGGGTGCTCTCACCACAAGGTTGGGTGCTCTCGAGCAGCATCCCCAGCGGCAGCGAGGTCAGAGCCACAGCCCACAGTCGCAGCCAGACCCCAGGTCGTTTAAAGCTCACTGAGGCATCTCCACAGTGCAGGGCAGTCAGCGCTGTATGCACATTCCCAGGCCAGCTAAGCCTGTACCTTTCCAGCAGTTTTTAAATTCTCAAATTATATTTTAAAGAAGAGCCCTGGAATCTCTCCCTCCCTCTCTCTTCCCCTTTGCTCTCTTTTCTATCACTGCCTTAATCTGGCTGCGGCCTCTTTCAGATGAAGGTGACACGGATGGAGCTCTCATCTGGTAACAACTAAAACACGCTTGACCATTTTCACTCTGCAGACCTCCCTTACTGTCAGATTTTATAACCCGATTACTACAGACTTGGGTTAGATTCAGACAGATTGCCTACCAGCGAAAGGCTCAATATCCCATTATCAGATTTGTGAGCCCGTCATTCCTCTTCATTTAGTGTGTAACAGAAAGTGTCAGTAATGTCCTATGGACTTACGCTTTGAAACGACTCTTAACTATGCAAGTCATATGCATCTACCAGGTGAAAATACTGCACGGAATCGTACACAGGACAACTATTTTAAAACATTTTTTATTTAAATATTAAATAAAACACATCGACTAATCATCTTGGTGTACACCTCTCATTTTAACATAAGAAATAAAATGATTGTTCAGTCATGATAAAAAATAAACTATACATCTCAATTAAACCAATCACGTAGTGTCTTTAAATACCCTATTGCATTGCAGTCTGCAGAACAGCACTGTCAAGATATCTACAAAAAACCCCAAACTTTTAAAATGACCTCTTTCTGCTCCAGCAATAATTCCAAAGAGGTTCTACAGCAATTGGAAAAGAACAAAAAAAAAAAAATACTATGAAAGTAAAGTGCTTGTCATTGCTCAGGACAGGAAACAAAAGAATCTGTGGCCTTTTGATCCATGCCATTGAACAAAACAAATATTGAAGAGGAAATTTTGTGTTTTAAGTGTGTGTGCTACCTCTTACAAAACTGAAGGCAAAGTTGCTGCTTTGTGATGAGCTGGCTTCTTCTTGCCCTCCTCTTCCAGCCACCTCCACGCTATCTGGTTTTTGGGTTGGTTTCTTTGTTTTGTTTTGTTTTTTTGTTTTGTTTTTTTTTTTTTGTTGTCCCCAACAAATTTTTTAAACCACTACAAATGAGCATGAGACTTTGGTGTTTTCTCTGCTGCAAGGCACCACTCATTAACAGAAATTCAACTCAAGCAATTTTCTCTCACTTTGAAGCTTCCAGACCACGTAGCAGCAGTGGCAAGCTGGAGATGCACCAATATAGACACACAGATACAACACACCGATAAAGAGGTCGTTTATGGAGAGCCACAGACAGAGCCACATGACATCTTCAACCCTTCCTACTCCCACCAATTAACCTAGTCGATCTTTGGCTTTTTTCTTTTTGTTAAAAAACAAAACAAACCAACCAAACAAACAGGTATCTATATTATTTGCAAATGCGCAATACTGCAGGTTGCATGAAGCCAAGGTTACTTGAAGGCACCCCGTGTCACTAGGGAGATGGGTCCTTTAAGCATTTAGACAGAACGCAGCTATTTTCTGACATTCGGATGGCAGCTCCCAGCCAAGCTGGCTCACTGTTTGCTCACCTGCTTCCAAAGTTTGCACGCCCTACCTGACTCATTTCTGTAGGAGCACAGTCTGTTCTCCCCTTTATATCTAAGCATAACTTCTGTTGATACCAAGAGAAGTCATGCTCTGCCTTGGAAGGGGAGTGGGGTTTATACCAGAAACACAATATAAGCATATTACAAAATATAAAAAATAACTAGTGTTATATAGTTTTCTGCTTCCTATTTATATACATATACAGCATTAAAAACCATACGAAAAAACACCTATCTAATCCAAAACCTCATTTTGCTAATATGCCAAAAACAAACCAACCAAAAACAAACACCCAAAGATTGTGCTGTTTTACTCACTTTTAATACAGTTTTGTTCAGAAATAGCTGTACTCCGTTAGAGCAGAATTCTGTTCTAGCCTATTCCTTTTGTCTTTGTCAGTATATAATTATAACCTCAATATTGCACATTTCCCCAAGAGTCAGTTCTGTTTGGACCCTGATAATGAAATGCATAAAAACATAATTAGCAGCGGAAATAACAATGTGCAGCACTAAGAAATACCCCTCAGGCAACTTTGTAGGCAACCTCCAGGAGGACTCCTTAAAAAGAAAACCCTTCCCATCATCCCACCGGTAGTAATGCTTCCCTCCTCAGTGCCTCTGCAAGAATATGAAAAAACTTAGCGCTTATAAAAAGACTCCTAAAGATTATTCAGACCGACAAAATACATGCGTGTGTGCACGTGTGTATATGTATATACACACGCACCACTCCTAAATAAACATCCCTGCGAAAGGCCAGACATTACGCAATTTGGATCCTGATATCAAGGGACAGATTTTTCAATAAGATTACTTGCTTCTGTACAAAATAGAAGGGCTTTTTAAGCTTTTCCAGCTGATGTATCAAGAAGTTCACAGTTTTCATTTGAAGTATATGTGTCTGGGAGGTGTGGAATGGGGATGTTGGTTCCTTCAAATAAAATGAGTGTTAACAAGAGAAAAACAAAAACAAAAAAAAAACCCCAACAAATGGCAATGCTTCCTTTTTTGTCTTCTATGAATGCATAATGCTGCATGCCACTGGTTTTCTGTTTATTTTCTTTAAAAGAGGTAATCATCTTCACAAACCCATAAATGAATATTGTGAAAAAGGGAGGCTCTGGTCCCTTCTTTGAAAAGCCTCTCCCTGCTGTGTCACCACTACTGACAGCTGCTAATCTTGCATAACAGCAGAGCTGTATTGGTCTGACTTGACTACAGTACCGAAGAGTTCTTCCCCAACCACATCCCTCCCTGTCCCCACAAATGCCCCACCCATCTTCCCCATCATTATTTTTCCTTTAAAAAAATTCAGTTTCTATTCGTATTTGTTCAGTGCAAGAATAGTAGAAGCAAAAAGACATACATATTGCTTGTTTCAGTTCTATAAAGTTGCTAGCTTTCTGAGTCAGACAGCCTCTTCACATACTTCAAAATTTATTGCTTCTGAGAGTCACTCGTCCACACGACACCAGCCAGCCACGGACCCACACACGCCAGGGAACACTGGTGAAAGTTCTTCGCAACGAGAGCAGCGTGAGCTGTAGCAGTTGGGGCTCTCATTTGACCAGGACAAACTTCCCTAGCTGGTTGGAAGTCAAGTCCTCCATCTCACAGTCCCCGTGCTGGAGAGTGACAGCGTCGTAGCTTGGAGACTGCGCAGAGAAGCTCTGCTGCTGAGAGAAGGTGGTGCCAACTGGAGAAACGTTGCTGCTGATGTACAGGTGTGTGTCTAAAAGGTGAGCTGCCGAGGACACCGGTGACACGCTGACACCAAAGAAATGAGGTTGCAGCAGTTGGCTGTTGCCAGCAAAGGCCAGCTCAAATGAGTTCTCTCTCTGCAGCTCTGACAACAGAAGAGAATTGGATGCTTTGCAGGTACCTATGCTATCAGAGGAGGGGACGCCATTTGTTGCAGATGTCTGAGAAGTCTGGGGACAAGCTGTCTGGAGTAGCTGGTGATGCTGGAGCTGGAGCATTCTGAACAAAATCCAAGGGTGGAAGAGGTTAATTTGCACTGCTAGGATGGCTTAATGTTCTTCCTCCTCCTTTCTTGCCCCTAATCCTGACCATAACTTTCCCCCTTGTTTCCTTCTCTCTATCAAACCTCTCCTTACCCAGCCAGTACAATCACAGCAAGCTGACTGTGCCAGATCAACGTGTCTTCACTTGGCTTCTCCACATGTTGGAGAGGGCGACTATCACCAGAAAGTTATCTAGTCACGATTTGGCTTGCTAATAATAGATGTTCTAGAGACAACGTGTGCAGATAAACCGGGAAGTCAATTTTCCATCTTGCTTCTACGGGAATGAAGAGGTGCCATCACACATGACATTTGAGGCCACTGGAACTGTGCCTCCTTTGTGGGCTGTAACTTTTCCAAATTACAAGGTCTCACTTCCTTGCCATGGGAAAATTACAGGAGGAGGCAGAGGAGGAAAGAAATCATTCCCAAAACTAACAAAGAAAAACACAGCTTGCAATGGGGAGAAGTAATGTTTTCCCCCACAGCACCAAACTGCTTCTCAATTCAGCAACCTCCAAGTATTTGGACGCCGAGATTTTTAAGTGGAACTGCACGTCCTGCGTTACGTATGCCAGTGCAGGAAGCCACAACGGAAGCCAAACAGTTTATCTGCTGCCACACAGCAAAGATGGAGGATAGGAACTCCCAGTGACCAAACTCCCCAACCTCTTTTGCTGTGTTTACTCCTCCTCACTCGCCCCTAAACAAAGTAAACCCAATGAAAACAGCAAAACTCCTCCCGGCCAGGTTCTCACCTCTGCTGCTGGAGCACCTCCTCCAGGAGGCTTCTCCCCTCTCTGCTGCTCCCGCTGCTGCTGTACATGCAGGTGTTGGGCTGCGCGTGTTGGAAAGGGCTCATGACACTCCTTGCTGCCCGAGATGAGGAGGACTGACACACCTGCCGAGCAAAGCCTTTGATTTTATTCAAGCCGAGAAACCCCTTGGCTCGAGCGTTCTTCCGCAGCTGCTGCCTAAAAGCCTTCAAGCCTGTGGGACACGAGGAAAAGAAATGCACTTTAATCCTCCTTAGCATTTGCCTAGGAGCCTACTTTACAGATCGGCCTTTCTGAGCAGCTGCCTTCATTTGTGTGAGAACTACCCTAGAAGAGACCATGACTTTTCAGTTCATCTGCCTGATGGTCAGAGCAAAATATACGCAACAGAACAGGGCTTGGGACAGCTGCACCCTTGTGTAGATGGACACACGCGCAGCAAAGAAGAAACCTGATAGAAATCACGACGCTGTGCGCTCCGTATTTTCGGAGGAAAGCGAAGCCTGCCATCCCACTCACGGCAGCAGAAATATCTTCACGGGCAGGCTGAATCAGTACCTGAGACTCTCTCATCTAGGCACCTTCCCCAGGGCATCCCACCCTCCCTCAGGGACCGTGAATACAAGAGGCAGAATACCCAGGTGGCTGGCCTTAGTGTAACGCTAACACGGGCAAGCAAGTATCCCTGCATGCTCCCCTTTTCTAGTGGCAGTTGGAAGCGTGCAATTCCCCAGCAATAAAGCAAGGAAGCCATTACCTTGAGTTAATGAGGTATCCGATGCTCGCCTTCCTTCTTGGAAGCTGACAGGCAGGAGAGAAGCACCTCCCATGCAGCCCTGGGCTTGTAACACCGGAGCGTCAGACTGGGAAGGTAGGAAGGGCGACGTCATCCTCGTTGTGGCTGGGCTCCCCATCATGACTTGACCGGCCAAACAGCTGCTCAGGGCCACGGAGCTGTCATTTGAAGATGAAGTAAGGCAGCTGTCTGAACTAGTTCCCTCTGTGGGGCTTGCAGAAGAGGAAATGACTATACCTATGGAGGGGAAGGAAGGAGAGAAAGAGCATTCCCAAGATGAGTACAGGAAGGAACAAACATGACATCAGAGCCTTCTGCCCACCTACGCTGGCACTAATAAGCAGCTGCAAGTCGGAGAGGTGTCCAGCAACTCATGCTGTCACAAGGCTTGACTCCAGCAAGGGGTCATCAACGAACAACCTAAGTTTGGGCTCCCGTCCAGCTGGCAGGGCTCTGCCAGCAACTCCAGAATCACCAGGCTACGCTGGATCAGGCCTACAGTGTTTCTTTAGCACAACAGCTCTGACCAGGATTATTGTTTCGTGAACAGTTTTGCTTGTTTGTTCAGTTCACGGGGTCTGGATGTGTACCAAACACAGGTTTTCTTTTAAATTCAGGTGCTCCCATCTACCCCGGTATAACAGCAGAAGCAAGCACAGAAGGGTTATGTCCTGCTTGTGAGAATGCTCCCCTCTAAAGTGATCTAGATGAAATACAACAGGGCAACTTCTCTTCCTTAAGGGCCATGCTCATTTACAGGAAGACAGAACTGGGAAGGGCAGAGTACAGACCTCTCCTCTGGGCTTTCCGATCCCAGTCAAGGTAAAATCTGCACATAGTCCCCAGGCATTTGACCGCTATGTCATTCCTTCTCTGTCCTTTTCCTCTAACTACGGACACCCTTCGTCTCTCTCAGACTTACTTACATGGAGGGGCATGCTGATAGAAATGTGTGGTCACTTCAGCCAGTGTGTGTCTCCTGCTAGTGTTGCTAGGGATGCGGATGGGGTGGTCATACGCCTGAATTTCATCTTCCAGCTCCTTCTCTTGCCTTACTTCTTCACTAATGGTGGTCTCCAACAGGCTGTTGGGGGAGATGGAGCGGTTCCGGAAAAGCCCGTTGAAGTTGGGATCCACAGGAAAGAACACAGGCTGCAAAACATGGCAGATCACAGACTGAAGGGTGTTTTGCTTATTTCCGCACTACCTTTTAATACTCTTCACAGCCCTGTGGCATGTCTTCAGTAGGCATCTTGTTTGAGAGGCTACTACAACACCATGCCCAAATGCCAAACATAAGATTGGAGGGACAGAACAACAGTCACAACTCCTGTTGTTTTGGATTGGCAGAACAACGAAGAAAAAAAAAAGTCTACACACAGCTAAACACACAGTTTAGCTGAGAACACCAACCTGTAACGGATTGCTCATGTCACAGTCCATTTCTGCCTGCAAGGATGGCTGAATCAGGCTCTGAGGTTGCTGGTAAAGCAGAGATGATCGCAGGGTTTCACTAGTGAGACTGTCCTGAGGCATCTGGAGAGAGAGCAATGCACAGAAGCCATCACGTACACTGCAGTTCCAGATGACTTTTCAGATACTGGAGGCTCAAGGAATTTCAGAGCCACCTTCCGTGCAAGCTTTCTCCACCTACTTTCTATGAAAATTAACAAAGCTAGTCTTTCAATGCCAACACAAACGCAAAACTCCTTCTCCTATGTTAGGCAATGTAACTGGAAGTACAGTTTGAAAAGGTGCCTAAAGCACACTTTAAAGGGGATGGGGCTGAAGAAAAGAAAGTCAGAAAAACACATGAACTGACTCACGGAGTACTTCTGAGGACCCTACGGGCTATGTAACAAAGAAGTCTAACCGATCCATGCCTGAGGGCAAATTTCCATGAGAAGCCTAATCCTCTGGCTCATTATTGACGTGCACTGGAAGCAGACTGTTCTCTGGACCATGACACACAGTCACTGCTTAGGAAACAGGCCATTAGCATTCAGTCAGCCTCCTGATGAGGAACAGTAGGCTGTGTCCTATCAGACAGCACCAATATCAGAATTGGTTCTCAGGAGCCTGAGAGTTACCATCTTGTATCTTCCCGTAGCAAGTGGCAGAAAAAAGAGAGCCAATGGACACAGCTTCCCAGTAAGTAATGCCCTTCCTTACCTCAACATTGCTGATCTCGGAGCTCCTCGGCCTTTGCTGACGGCCAGTTGCTGGACGACTCGATAGCTGGCTGCTTCGATACTCCTTGAGGCGCTCCAAGAGCAGGTAATAAATTGCAGCAAAATGGTTGTAGCTGCTGTTTTGCAGAGACTAGAAGACATTGAAAGGACCCTTGAGTTACAGGTAACTCAGGATATAAGCAGCCAAAACTCACCACTAAGGCCTCATAATAGCCTACTCAAAAAAATAAGTAAAAATCCAGGAGGGCAGTGAAGATTTTACTACACTGTGACACTGGATCAAGGCTGGTCACTGAATTGATGTATACACGGCTGCACCATTGGCATTCTGGTAGTCACTGAAGATGTATCTAAGGGGCAAGCACTTCTCACCTCAACAGTTCTCTGCCTGTCGATGCCAAGTGTTTGCATGATCCCAAGGACCTGCTCATTGTAGTCACCCAGGTTGGAGTTGTAGTTTTGCATGGAGAAGGACAAAGACTGCTGCTGTTGAAGAGACGGGTCAGCTTGCATCCACTTGTGCTGCTTTATTTGGGAAATGGTTATTCGCTTGGTTGGGTCCACAACCAACATCCGTCGGATTAGTGTTTCACAGTCTGGATGACAAAGACAAATTCATGAGCAAGGGGTAAAAATAACAGCCCAGCCGCAGGTCACTGCTAAGAAACCTTCCCAGCAACAGTGTGTGATGTTTATGAAAACAGGAATTCAAGGTTTCTGAGCAGCTGATGCCTGATCTGACTACCAGATATTCAAAACAGCACAAGAGATGTCCATATACACTTCACAAAAGCAACACATTACTACAGGAAATGAGGCTGTACTGGATACTGGCAGGTTTCAGATGGCCTTGCACCTTGTAGGAGAGCTAGTTTTGAGTGGGTGCAGGTTTAATGTTGTTACATCCACTTGAAATAGGTCAGAATTTAGTACAGAACCCCATCACATACAACTTCCTGGTCCATATACACTGCTTATTTGTTTATAAGCAGGGAATCAAAGCCCTTCATGGCTATAACTGATAAAGGTCTGACTTCAAAAGATACTCTTCACTTGAAGACAGAGGCACATTCACTTGTTTTCTAATTCAAATCAGAGAGAGGTGCTAATACTCTTCAGTTCCTTTTTCACACGAGACTGTTGGGAGTGCTCAAGAAACAGTGCTAAGTCCCACTATTTGCTCTCCTTGACAGCATAGCCACACTGAAACGTACCCCTTTCTGCATAGTTAAAATATCTTAGGAGAGCTACACCCATCTCAGCATGGCAGGCTAATTCGCATTAAAATCCCGTTTTCCCTCTTTTGTGAGCGATTATCTCTCCAGCTAGGGTGTCAAGTATTTTTGTAATCCATAGAGATACTCTAAGAAAGTAAATGACAGCCTTTTAGATGCACCATAAAGCAGATCCCAGAAAAGAAAACGTGTGCAACCAGCCCCTCAACTCTAAGTGCTGCCCTACAGAAATTACTGGATATGTAAAGACAAAGCGATTGCCAGCTGCAAAACCAATCCCATCTGTCATTGCCCCCAAAAGGGACAGGACAGCTATTCCTTTATTTGCAGCCCCTTTTCTAACGTTAAGGATCTGAAAAAAGCACCTTCGGACATGAAGTAAGGGATGCGGAACCTCCCCTCCAGCACTCTTTGCCTCAGAGTCGGTAAGTTGGGTCCATCGAAAGGCAGAGAACCACAGACAAGGACGTACAGCACCACCCCAAGGCTCTGTCAACAGAAAACAGCAGAGCACATGAGTGACTCCAGCAGAAGCAGTGATTCCGAAAGCCCATAGACCCTCACAAAGTGTGAAATGCGATTTCTAAGGAATATCAAGCTCACCCATATATCAAGGTGAGGTCCTTCGTACTCTTTGCCTTCAAAAACTTCTGGAGCTGCATAGGGTGGGCTTCCACACCAAGTGGAGAGGGGCTCTCCCGACTTGTAGAAGTTTCCAAAGCCAAAGTCTGAAATGAAGGTAAAAGTCTGGGGTAAGACATCACTCAACCGCATACTATTATTTCAGAAGTAGCAGGAAATGGAGAGAAGGGAGCAGATGTATTGTTTTGGTCTCTACCTATTCATTGAAGCTATTCTCTTTTGTCATCTTTTTTTTTTATACAGAGGATACGTTCAGAGAAATTTCAGTAACTTTTGTTTTATTTTCAGTTACCATAAATACATTTATAGGCTCGCCCTAGGGAGACTGAATTTGACTACATGGCTAATGTTGTTTATACAGTAACTGCATATTTCTTATTACCTGCTAACTTGATATTCATGTTAGCATCTAGCAGAAGGTTCTCTGTTTTGAGATCCCGGTGCACTATGTGGTGGCTGTGACAATATTCCACCGCTGAAAGAATCTGCCAGAACTTCTTCCGTGCTTCACTTTCGCTTAAGTGCCCATTGGAGGTCAGATGATCTGCAAGGCAAAAGGAAAAAGGCACAGGGTTTAGAAACATCTGGAGGAAATTTTTCGTAATCCTGCAGGTGCTGCACTCGCTGTTTGACAGCTGACAATGCCAACCCTGGATTTTTAATGAGAATATATCCATCACTCAGGAATGACACCAATAAAGCCATGGATTCTAAGTCTAAAGAACTGTTAGCTCCGGCAGTGAGGACTTACCAAACATTTCTCCGTTCTTTGCAAACTCAGTAACGATATAAAGCATATCCTTTGTCTCCATAACCTGTGAAGACATGAGAGGACATCCTTAAAAAAACCCAAAGACCTCTGTAGTTTCGTTCATTTTTCTAAGTGCATTCTCAATTATATCAGTTCAATTATTTATCTGCTGCAGCAGCTGGCAGTAAAGGCATCTAATTTTGCACCACAGCGTTCTTTCCAAGCAAACTGGTAATGAAAAAGATAACAAATCAATGTTCATGTGCCTACAATATACAACGGCTTCCCATGCCATTGTTCTTCTCACCATTACCATGCAACCTAATCTCCGTAAGATAACTGACGAGCATTTCAATAATTTCATACACTTCCCTGAATTCCTTTTTTGCTAAAATATGCCTATATAGCTTTACAATTCATTTGATGTATTGTGAACATGCAAAGACATGTAAAGTTTACATAACAGTCATCTTTGTCTCAAAGGTAGTAGGTACTCAGATCAGGAGAGATAATTGCACCTTGGACAAATCAAGTAGCAGCATCAAATATCCCACTCCCACGTGGTGTTGGCCGGGGACATGACAAGCCTCCCATACAACTGACAATAGGTTGCGGTTTGCGTAATGGCAGTGCTTGATGCACGTCAACAACTGCCAATAGATTGCCCAGCGTTCACCTATCAATGCAGTAACAACTCCTTTTGATACTTGCTAATTTTTTCCTTTAGAGGAAAAAAAAAAGGAGAACTAAAAACCAAAGAGTGAATGAGAAACGCTGAGCGTTTCCAAATTCATCTTCAGTTACTACGGCACATCTTTCAAACGCTGCATTTCAGATTTTAAAATACAACGTTTCCCTGGAATTAGAGTCTCAAGGAGCAGATATTTTGTTTTGGAAGCAGAAGGCTCACAACAGGTTAACAATGAAAAAAGCCTCAATACTACTTCAAAGGCCGTAATTTCCAGGCTCCTAACTTAACCTTTTTGGAAAACTCTTGTCCTCCCCTCACTACAAGTACACACAGACACGAAATGAAAATAAACAAACAGGGAGCAAAGGAAGAGAGGTTCCCAGTTTAAAAAACTGAAGGAAAGTGTTCTGGGAAAGTTGCCAGCTGGATGAAATTAAGACGCTGTGCTGAAACTAAAACAATGATGAAATAATACAAGAACACACACCCTACATTGGTATGCCATCTAATTCCATCCCTGCTTCTCAGTCTCCACCAAACAGGTAAAGCATCAGTTACAACAACAAAGAAAAGAAAACTTCACTGAAGAGAAATTATGGTCCACTACCCACGTCATTTGCTCCATCAAGTGAAGTGGTTCAACTAGATGGAATTTAACCTGCTTTTCTAAAAGCTTCGAAATAGTATTTTCACCCACATCATTCCACTGAAATGAAATCAACCGAAGTGGTAGAATGTTTCTGTATATCCTATACCACCCTATGGGCAACAATGACGTCAGACGTTAACACAGAATAATTTTTGTTACAACGGTTAATACTATAAATATCAAGCACTTCATGTGTGTCAAGGTCTTTAAAAATAATGCCTTGCCTAAGCACCTGCCTTACTGGCTCCTCAGCCTTACACGTTAATTAAACTTTTTTTTCTTTTTTTTTTTTTTTTAAAGCTGATAATAGTGTTTACTACCACACATGGACTTCCCGACCTGCTGCTTTATCCATCTATTCTTCTCTCCCCACTGCCCTTCCAGACAGATTCAGACAGACTGTGATACCTCATCTTCTTCTTAAATCCACATGGCACTGTTTAAGATGATTAAGAGGAACTTGCACCAAATGCTAATTAGATAGACTATTTAGAATTTGCAAAGCAGTCCTTGCTCACTAGACAGATGTGATCCTGTTTTCTGCACAACACGTTCATTTGTTCTTACTGTTAAAAATACCCAGCAGTGCAGAAACTGAACAAATCTAAACCAAAATTCATGTTGAGAAACTCTACGAGGGGAAAGATATTTAAAATTCACTTTCAAAACTACACAAACTGGAACAGAATAACCAATCAGGTCATTTTTTGACATATTCTAAGATACCAACATTTACTGGCTTTTTCTTTTCTACTTAGATTAGAACTCTAATTCTTAGATTAGATTTCTACTTAAGATTCATTTGGTTTAACTGTTGTTGATTTTAAATCCCTTCCACTTACGGCAAACTCAACTTTTGTGCTTTCTTCTCTGCTATCCTACCTAAGTTTAAGTCCTCCTCTTATCAAAAGCACGTTAGAAGTTCCAGTCCTCTAAACTGGAAAAGCAGAGGAGTTAGGAAAGGCCAGTTAATCACAGCAGTTCAGATAGTCAGTTCCTCAACCTGACACAAACTCCAGCCTCGTTTTAATTGTAAATTTTACAGTGCATTTTGTCGAAAAGCTGTCTAATGTACCAGAATCTTGTTCAAAGAACAATGAATAACTTTTAAAAAAAAAAAGTTTTAAGTTTTTTGAGAAAAGTACTTCAATATGCATTCTCTCTGCAAATATTTGATGTAAAATCACGTGCAAGAGAAGAGCACAAGCATATCTCATCTGCGTGCTGCGCTTCAAAGCTGACCTCTTACCTGATATAGCTTGATAATGTGGGGATGATTCAAAAGCTTCATTATCTGAACTTCTCTATAAATCTTCTCCAGATTGCTTGGGTCTAACCTTGTTTTGTCTATTATTTTTATTGCAACCTGCAGATTTAAAAAATCATAAAACAACCCCAGCTATTACAAAATAGATTAAGATCTCTTAAAAATAAAATAAAATAAAAAAAGAAGACACCTCCCCCAAACACACACAACTCACAAAACCCAAGTAAAGTAGCTTTTAAAGTACAGACTGGACAAAGCTGGTTCTGTTTTTCTGAACCGCACAGAATTCACGACACAGAACGTTTTCATTTTTTCTTTTCTATGTCAAAGGATTACACATAAGGTAGCGAACAGAACTGCAGAAATTAGCACTGGACAGGATTCGCTAAATCTTTTAATCCTTCCCAGGCCAGTGAAAAACAGATTCCCGTAACAGACTATTTTCTACTGTAAGTGACAGATACAATTTTGACGTGCACTAGAAATATAAATACGGTTGCGTGCCCATTAATAAATTATTTCTGCAAATAACACTGCAAGTTCTTTGTTCGTGAAGCACGGACATTGAACGACAAAATTAAACCCATCTAAAGTCTGCAAAAGATCCTTAATTTGTTGGACTTTTTAGGAAACGAAGACGGAGCAAATCAACGGAGTACCGTAACACTCAGAAATGTTATTTTTTTTATGTATATATTCTTGCTCGGGTTTAATTTTATACGAACTCTGCCGAACACACCGGGAAGACGTGACGGTCCTGCGGGCAGCCCGGGGGTGCAGCCCCCAGGGCAGGCTGAGCCGGCGGACTTGGCAGAGCTTACAC